TTCCTTTTTGGATAGCTTGGTTGGACACATAAGTTGTGTGTTGTCTTTGCTTATTATAAACAGCACTGCAGTGAACATCCTTGCCCCACTCATGCAGCACCGTCTGTCAGACAAATTTGCAGAAGTGAAGTTCCCGGGTCCAAATGCCTGTGCACTTTTGACTTTTGATAGCGTCCAGTTTTCCTCCACTGAGGTTGCACCAAAAATATGGATGGCATTTGGCCGCCCAGACACTTGTGCTAGGTCCCCTGCCCTGCTGCGCCTGCTGGGCTTCCCACCGCCCACACCCTGACACAGTAAACTGGCCCTCCTGCTTCTTCCTCCTTGCCTTTTATATCAAGGAAGAACAAATGCCTTTGGAGAGACAGACTTCTTGGACATCTTAGAGTAACTTTTCCTGGGTGCGACCGTTGACAATGGTTGATCCAATGACTGTTTTATAAGAAATCCATCTATGCCTCAATCTGGATTAGACTGGGAAAAGTTAGTATGTTAATTTCCTAAAAACAGACACTTAAATATTAGTTTCCACTAACACCAGAGTGTAGGGGTGGCTTTGCGGCTCATGTGTGAGCCACCTGGCTCTCTTCCATGGGCAAATTTTTGAACTAAGATGTGAATTACAATTCAGGCAGGAATCGGACCAGGTTCACTGCTGTCTCGGTAAATGCCTTACACCACCCCTGGTGGTTCTCCTTGCAATTCCCAGGTGGAGATGAAATTTACATTTAAAAAATAAAGGTAATATCTTATTTATTTTTGGCCATAGGGTGCATGTGCTCACTAGAAAGAGACAGAGAGAAAGTAAGTGAGAAATCACCACAGTCCCTTCTCTGCTTCTCCTCTTGGGATTTTGGGCATGCCTACACACATGTCCAACCTGATTTTTAAACCTCCAGGTCCAGGACTCGAGCCATGGTCAGCCATGTGGGAATCCAGTGCCTTAACCGCCATGCCATTTTTTTCAGTAGCACTATAGTGGCTATTTACCAAAAAGATGATGTGTCACAATATTAATAACTTACAATTTTTAGAACATACTGAAAAAGGCAGCTCTTGCTTACCTATTACAAATGAATCCTCTCTGTGCTGAGGTGGTAGGGCAATTTTGGAGATGGAACAAATTTAAACATTAAAAAAAGGCCTGTTTAGCTTCACATGAAAATCAGAACAAGTACATTTTTTTAAGAATTAAAAAAATTATTGAATTTTATTTTATTTATGTATTTATTTTAATTTGACCAGAGGGATAGAGTGAGAAAGAGAGAGGGAAAGTGAGAAAGCAAGCTGCTGGGGCCAGGACTCATACCACAGTCAGCCATGTGGGCCTTTGGAGAGACAGACTTCTTGGACATCTTAGAGTAACTTTTCCTGGGTGCGACCGTTGACAATGGTTGATCCAATGACTGTTTTATAAGAAATCCATCTATGCCTCAATCTGGATTAGACTGGGAAAAGTTAGTATGTTAATTTCCTAAAAACAGACACTTAAATATTAGTTTCCACTAACACCAGAGTGTAGGGGTGGCTTTGCGGCTCATGTGTGAGCCACCTGGCTCTCTTCCATGGGCAAATTTTTGAACTAAGATGTGAATTACAATTCAGGCAGGAATCGGACCAGGTTCACTGCTGTCTCGGTAAATGCCTTACACCACCCCTGGTGGTTCTCCTTGCAATTCCCAGGTGGAGATGAAATTTACATTTAAAAAATAAAGGTAATATCTTATTTATTTTTGGCCATAGGGTGCATGTGCTCACTAGAAAGAGACAGAGAGAAAGTAAGTGAGAAATCACCACAGTCCCTTCTCTGCTTCTCCTCTTGGGATTTTGGGCATGCCTACACACATGTCCAACCTGATTTTTAAACCTCCAGGTCCAGGACTCGAGCCATGGTCAGCCATGTGGGAATCCAGTGCCTTAACCGCCATGCCATTTTTTTCAGTAGCACTATAGTGGCTATTTACCAAAAAGATGATGTGTCACAATATTAATAACTTACAATTTTTAGAACATACTGAAAAAGGCAGCTCTTGCTTACCTATTACAAATGAATCCTCTCTGTGCTGAGGTGGTAGGGCAATTTTGGAGATGGAACAAATTTAAACATTAAAAAAAGGCCTGTTTAGCTTCACATGAAAATCAGAACAAGTACATTTTTTTAAGAATTAAAAAAATTATTGAATTTTATTTTATTTATGTATTTATTTTAATTTGACCAGAGGGATAGAGTGAGAAAGAGAGAGGGAAAGTGAGAAAGCAAGCTGCTGGGGCCAGGACTCATACCACAGTCAGCCATGTGGGAGTCCAGCACTCTTAACCACCATGCCACCTCTCGGCCCCCAGAACAAGTACTTTCTACATTTCTCCTAGTTGTTGCATTTGGTGGAGAGCGTTTTTCCTAAGATTAAGCAACACACTGAATTGTTTTCACACTTCACCGTATGGAAAATGTGATGTGCTCCCAGGCCGCTGCCTGCATACCAAATGCAAATGCACAGTGTGCCTGGAAAACTGGGGCTACAGTTTTATGAAGGGGACAACCGTGACTGTGGCCACATTCGAGCTACAATAAACAAGCTCTCCAAAAGTCATACCCCTGCAGAGGTGGACGCGGTCAAACGTGTATTTAGGTTGCAGCACAAGCTTAGATACGCTGCTGGTTGTCCAACGTCAGGGAAGGTAATAGAAGGCTGAAGCTAAAAACCTGTTCTGCTAAACCCCACTCCATCCTGGCCAGGGAGCTCTGTGAAAAGGGGAGACTCTATAAAATAGGGACCTAACAAAGCATGTCAGCAGCTTGAATGGAGCAAACCAGGCCAGAGCTGAGTTCTAATAAATAAATGCAGTCGAGCATTTATTGCCAACAATCATGTCACTAGGGCCACAGAAAACTGGAGCCTGCAGATGCGGGGGGAGGAGCCTACAGCTGAGAAGGCCGTGGCATGCACCCAGGCGTGGTTATTTATGGCGTGCTGATGAAGAGACAACACGCCATGTGAGGAACAGTTTAACAGAGGGCCGGTCAAGCTCAGCTAGGAAGAGTGCCAGTGAGAGAGCGGGGGCCACACAAAGGCACACGCATAAAAATGACAGGTAATAAAACAATACACATCTAAAACGCTGTAACTTTCAGGAATAATCTAGGGCCAAAAGAAATGAAAAGGAAAAAAAAAAAAACAACAACTAGTTTTCTTGGCTTTGGGACAATTTTCCAAGAAGCAAGACATTAAACAAAATGAATGAGCTGAATTTAAGACCAAATTTGCCTCCATGCCTTCTTAGCTACAAGTTCAGTTGCTTCTAAAGCTGATTTAGTCATAAAAAGCAAAGCGGCAATTTTATTTGTATTTAGTTGATATAGCTTTTTTCCCCCAACAAGTGCCCGCTATTCCATGTTCAGGTACAGGGCCCTCTAGGGCCCCATGCTGAACGGAGGCACAGGCCCTGCCCTGCTGAGGCTGAGGTCCAGGGTGGGAAGAGACAGGCCCACTGTCAGCTTCTGGACCATGGGCAGGCGAGGGCAGAGGGGCAGAGGCCGCAGGAAGGAGGTACTGCTGGGGTAAGACCTGAGGACAAGCAGCCTCCAAGTGGAGCCTGGTATGTTATTAACTTATTGAATTTTGCTTTCTATATTAATTGGATACTTACCAAACCTTTATGCAACCCAAATCCCAGTTTTATTTAAAAATTAAAATGCACTTTTTATGCAGAGATGCACATTTCTCTGGTTCTCGGTAGTTTCACCCTCGAATTCTGACTTACGGCCTACCTGAGCTGTGTCACCTAATCTCTATACGGTACCACATAGCCTTCTCCTGAATGTGGACAATAACTACCGGCCACCAGTTACCATGTGGCTTGCCACTCACTGGCTCTTCGGCACCACGCCCTGAGGGAGGACCACTGCTCTCATTTCAGAGGACAGGATGGCTTCGGAAGTCACTCCCTCAAGGGCACAGGACAGGTAGGGGATGTGCCGAAAACAGCTCCACGCCAGAGGAAGGCTCCGCCCTGTCCCCAGCTTACTTTCGCTACATTGCTCCCTGGTTTTCACTCCTCCCCAGCAAGAGCTCCTCTCCCCCCATCCTCAATGGTGAAGTACTACCGTCCTTACCGCAGGGATCAGGGTTGTGCCCACGGCAACGCGAGGAGAGAACTGGGACACTGTACTCGGAGAGAACCCACACTCACAGCGTCCAGCGCCGTCCCTATGTATACCAATTTCCTTTTCCCTTGGGAAGAGTTCTATTTTCAAAAGTCTATTTCTTCAGAAAGAATGAGAGAGGTGCACCCCAACAGGGCACTCATGTCTGGACCCACCCCGTCTCAGGCAGGCTTGATCATGGGTACATCTGACCTGCACAGGAAGCCCCCGGGAGGTGAACCCAAGACTTTCCCAAAAAAGATGATTTTAAGATGAGTGTGGGCCCTTCCCCTAGCCTGCCTTCTCTCACCAACCATGGATGAATGTCCTCCTAAAGTCCTGAAGTTAGGACCCGGAGCTGCTGCTCTGAAATGTGTCCTAGAAGAGGATCCAGACAGGGCACTTACACTGAGCCAGTCACTTCCCCTCTTCTGTCTCTCCCCACTCCTCACTCTATGCCTTTCTAGACACGCCTGTGCCCTTGCTGTGGCGATGTGTGGAGGGACAGTGCTAGAAGCAAAATATCTCCATGAGCCAGGGCACTTTGGGTGTCCCATCCTGTGCAAGGAGGGTGCATTCCACCCCTCCATCTTTCATCCACACACAGTCCGGACCCTGGGTCAACCGCTCTGAAACGCCACTTCCCATCTGACCAGACTCAATGATTTCAGTTTGAATTTGAGTTTCATGGTCTGAATTCAAGCAGTATTCTTGGTAGATCTCATTTCGCAACGTCTTCCAGACCCATCTTCCCCAAAGCAAACTCAGAACTGCCTTGAATGGTAAAATTATTTTATTACTAACCCAGGGCTTCTAAAAATATCAAAGAGTGGAGGTCTGATTATTTCTTTGAGACCGGGCAGAGTGTGACCAATTGATAAAGTATGGCAAAATCTTTCAGAGATTTCCATCCCTAAGTTCTTACTTTCAAATTTGCAAATCAATTTGCAAAAAGGCAGAGAGTGAATTTTCCCCTTTTCTACTATTAGAGCCAAACTGTGGCCTTGAACACTTGTTTTTACAACTACATGTGAACAAAAGATGACTTCAGACCTACTAGCTTACCAGTTAGGACTCAGATCTTCCTCTTTTTAGGTAACTTCCTTTAGCACAGAAAAATGTCATGACAAGGCCTGGGCCACGCTTCAGTCCACAGGGCTGGCCACAAGCACTGGGCTTTCATCCAAAGGCTGAGGTCTTAGCCCGATCTGGGTTCAAACTCTTCCCTTTTAAGAAAAAGATTTTGCAGCCTGGACGGCCAGAAACTTCAAATGGTAACTTTTCTGATTTGAGGTCATTTCCTAGGAATTTAAGAGGCAATCACTTACTCTCGACTTTCAAAGAGAAGTTGGGCTTGAAAGGCACAGTTGCATCTAAAACTGATCAGCTAACAACCAGCCTCTGAATTTCCTTGGGAGTGAGGAAAAGCAGTCGGGACACCTACACATCTGGACTAAGCTATCCAGTTCACTTTCCAGGTTGTAAATTGTCTGGCCCCAAAGATCACTTGAAAATAACTTTTTACCAAGAAAGTAGATTCTTTTTTTTTTATTAGCTGTGATACTAAAAAATTTTTTTTTTATTATTTTGATATGGAACATGACAGCTGTAAACTTGCCAACCACTAATTCTCAAGACAATATGTGTTTAAGAAAATAACAGAATACAGACAAATACAGGCCCTGAATACATGGATTTTAAATTATAGTAGATGACAACCTTATTAAAATATTGCTCTAACAGTTCATTCACATAAGCCAGATAATTAATAAATACCAACATTCACTACCGAATGTGATACAATGGCTGAGATGAAAATGGCTTTGCCGCTTGGCAATTGTTCACGTTTGTTGATGTATGTAAATAAAAACTATCTGAACAGAAGGACACACACCAGTGCGTACACACTCACACACACGCTCATTTTACTAAGAAGTGTCTTTGAAGAATAGCCTATGATCCTCTACATTTCAATCTACAAATTTTGATCCCTTCATGTATTTTGAAATAAAATAGAAGATTTTAAGAACCAGAATGCAGAATTTTAAAATCAGATTGCATATGGTTAGAAAAATATGCACCAAGGGCATACATTTTATTTAATAAGAAAATAGAACTATGTACAAAAATCACTTCTATTATTAATGCTGCTAAGTTGTTTGATTTTTGTAATCAAGCACCACCATACGAGACAAAGATGGCAGCGAGTTCTCTTCCACCTCAGCTCGCCTGAGTGTTTCATTTCTCAGTCTCACTGGGAAGTGCCATCACTCCCTGGTTAGAGAAGGTGCTGAAAATAGCCCAGAGCCTGGCTGGGTCCTCGCAGTTATGCTGGTGCTGCCAGTGGAGCAGGAGCTCCTCCTTCCACGCCAGCTTCTGTGCACAGAGGAGGCAGTTGAAGCCTGACCGGGACCACAGGAGGCCCGAGAAGGGGCCAGGACCCTCGGGGCCCTTGGGGCCTTCCCTGGGCTCCTTAGTTCCTAGCTGGGCTCCGTCACTGCCCATGAGCACTTCCACGCCGTTTTGATGATGAAGGTAGAGCTGCCTTTTCAATGTGGGAAACGCATGTACCTCCTCCTCGGGGGGACGGTGCTTCTCTGGTCTCCTTCTCTCGGGAAGCTGCTTCCGGTCTGGGGGTGTGCACTTGGGCAGTTCTTCCTGAACTCCTTTGCTTCCTGGTAAGATGTCCTCCTGCAGCCTGCCCTGAATTTCCTCTCCATGAACATAAAGTAAATGAAACTTTATTTCGGCAAAAGACTGAGCCGTGATCTGACAGCGACCACATTTGATTTGCAGTTTGACTTCATCCACCTGGTTGAGAAGAAGGTCCTCTTCCAGGCTGGGCTTGTGCTCCCTGAGAGGGCAAAAACGTTGACGTAAGATTTTATGGAACAAAACACAACCTGAACTTCTCCTTTCAGCTCCTGACCTTTAGAGATCTAAAACTAGTGAGAAGTACGCAATATGGGCAGATGGAGAACCTGGAAAGCCCGGGAAGCCCTACGGCAGAGGCCGCGGCCACCCCAGCTGCCTTTCTGCAGGTAGCATGTCCTTCTCCAGCGAGCGGGCTGTGTGGTGGGGGAGCTCCCTCCACGCCTCTCCCCCAGCTAGGTGGACTCTTACCACCGCATGCGAGAGTCAGGCAGTAACAGGGGAGTACTGCAGGAACGCAGTCCAGCTGTGGGAATGGCCCCATGCTGCCCCATGCTGCCCTCCCAGCCTTGAGCCCTGAGTGTAGTTTGCACACACCTAAAAATCAAAATCTAACTAGCTACAGGAAAACCAGCAGGTGAGTTTTTTTTTTTTTTTTTTTTTTCCATGCATTACTGAAAAGCATGGATGTCTCAAAGGGGACAGAAATGCCTAAGGAAAAAAGAGAAACTACGTAAAAGCAAGGAACAAACAGGACAGGTGCTCTTTATTTTTATCAAACATGACAGAGGAAGTCAGAATGAACAGGAAGCACTTGGCATGGCAGTAGGGCGCTATTCGGCAGTGCTGGGCCACATGGGAGCTCAGGTTAACCTGCAATGCTGGGTGCTCATGACCCTGGCTGGCTGGGGGCCTGGGGAGATCATGGTGTCAGACCCTCTTTGGGGTGCTTATCTCTCATTCCTTCTCTTGCTCTCTCATGGGAAAAATAAACGACAACCAAGGGCACACAATCCAGTATTGGAAAAGATTACTTCTCATGGTGCTGGTGGGACTCCAGTGCTCCACCCCCTCACTTCCCTGAGTGGAACGTGGATATCTTGTCCCTCAGGTTTTTGGTTACTCACCCCTTTAATGCCTAAGCTCATTTCTTTACGATATTAGGAAGCAGTACCTGGAAGAAAGAATGTCACGGGGAAAAGCTAATCTGGCCAGATGGGAAAGACTGGTTAGGTCTGGGAATCCTAGGGATGGTCAGCACAGCAGACCCATTCTGAGTTCCCTGCATAGGTCATGCCATGCTCTGGAGCAAATGATGTATATGCATTTGTATCATAAATTCGATAAAAATTCTGTGGACATTACTTGAGGAGAAACTGCTTATAAAGACTACCAGGAACTATATGCAATAATTTACTATTAGTTTTCGATGCAAAAATAATCTCTCATGCGATTGTTCCCATCCCACCTCAAACCAGCATTTACATCCTGGCTGGCCTGGGCCAGAGTAATTAAAAATTATGACAGATCAGCAACCAGAGAGAAGTGAGACCATTTGTCACCGAACTCTCGGGAATAGGTAGTTTGCTACCTCATGAAAAGGAACAAAGATGTTTTTATAAACTCTTCTCTTAGAATGTGAAATCTTCCCCTCTGCCACATTAAAACAGACTTTCCTGGGGCCAGCAGGTGGTGTGGTGGTTGAGGTGCTGGACTCCCACATGGCGGGCCTTGGTTCGAGTCCTGGACCTAGTGGTTTGAAAATCACACCGGGAGCGTTATGTGTGCAATGCCAGGAGGAGAATGGAGGAGAAGGAATTGCAGCGTGGCCATCTTCCCGGGGGTGATTTCTCATTTTCCCTCTCACTGTCTGTGTCTCTCTCTGGTGAATGCACGCACCTTATGGCAAAAACCTAAAACCAAAAAGCACACACCAGACTTCCTTGCCAGGCTTCTACTTCAGGAGTGCTCACCTTTCCAGGGATCCCTCCGTCCCGCCTCTGCTCTTTGGCACGTCCCCTGGCTGCGGTTCGCTGGGGGAGGGCTCGGTGCTGATCACAACCCGATGCACCTCTTTCAGATGGCCAAAATAGACTCGGATGTGACCAAACACTTTTGCACAAAACTCACAACACACCAGTTTCTTCATGCGGTTCTCGGCATGATGAAGCTTCATGTGTGTGCTCAGGCTGCCGGAACGCACGTAGGCCTTGCGACAGACCCGACAGCTGTAAGGCCGTTGGTTGGTGTGTGTATTCATGTGCTCTCGAAGGTGCTGTTTGAACTCGAAGTGGTGGTTACAGAAGTGACATCTGTGCCAGGCCTTCCTAATGCCAGAGAGTCCATTTCTGAACCCAGCACTGGGCTTAGAGTTCGAGGAAGGGCTGTCCTCCTGCGAACAGCTGAAATATTTTGAAGCGAGTGGAGTATTTAACAAGGCGTCCTGTGCTGGGCCACTGGGCGTCTGGGGTTGTACTGCAGCTGCAGGAGAAGCCAGGGGGGCCAAACTGGGCGTGACGATCACAGGCTTGGGCATGATGCTACGGTATTTTTTCATGGCCCCAGGCTTCTGGTCTCTGGATTCTTGGGGACCACTTTTCATTCTCTCTTTACCATCTCTACACTTACTAAGGATGCACTTCCTCCTCCTTCCCTGGAGTCCCAACATCTCATCTGAGCCCTTCCATTTTCTGCCCCTCTTCTTTGCGGCCCCACTGCTTGGTTTCGTTTTGTGGCCAAGATCTAGTTTGCTGGCTGGACAGGGACTCTTTTGCACTCGTGGTGCAAGGACATTGCTTCCCATCCTGGTGGCTGCAGTGCAGCTCTCTGTGCCAGACGGTATCTTATTACAGTTCAAGTTCGTCCCAGGCCCCACTGACGGTGAATCTGCAGCCTGAGCATTTGATTCAATTTTGCAGAACTCCGTGGTTTTCATGACCGAGTAGGGTAAGATTGGCAGTTTACCCCTGGGGCCAGAAGAGATGAGCTGGACTGCACTGCCGACAATGGACGGTGCAAAGTTGGTCATGGCCTTTGTGAGATCCACCTGTTCTGTCCTTCTCTCACTGGCGAGGGCCGCAGGCTTACTGGGCGCTCTCTTGTCTGGTGGGTTTGCTCTCCCTGCAGTTGTGGGGAGGCTCTGCTGCACAGAGGGCTCCTGGGGTGTGAACGGAGCCAGGGGCACAGGAGGGGCCAGCTCTCCATGGCTGTTGGTCACTGGCAGTCTCATGTCTCCTTGGCTGCCTCCGTTGGGCAGTACAGACGGGCTGAGGGTGGCTGGAGCTTCATCCGCTGGCAGCCTGTGCTCCAGTGGGCTGGGTTTGTGGGGAAGTTCGGGATGGGCAGGTGGGGAGAGAGACGTCCGAGGATAAATCTGGGTCTGGGCAGGAGGTTTGCTACAGCGACTCTCAGGAGAACTCAGGACACGCTTTCTTCTGGCTCCTCTGTTATTTCTTGGGGGTCGATATCGAGGAATAGGCAGCTTCAGGTTTTCAGGCAGTGGCATTCGGGGCTTCTGAATTGGCTGAGCTGAGGCGACGTGGGGCAGAGCGACAAGAGAAAACGTCCCCTCCTGGCCAGCAACCTGCATGAGTGCGTAGTTCTGGGTGGGCACCCCCAGTGGCCTGGGGCTGATGGCAGGTCCTAGAGTCACCTGATCAGAAAGTGACGGTGACTGACACGGCAGCACTCTGGGTGTCAGGACTTTGGGCGCGAGTTTGGGTGCAATGGACCTAAACTGAGTCTTACTCTGCAGACCTTTCCCACTCTGTGTTGTTCCAGAAGGGGTGCTGGAGTCACCTGTAATCACAACAAAAAGGTCACTGCAGTGCAACTGTCCTGTCACGGAGAGTCAAATAGTGTCTCACTTATTCTGCCTAGAAAAGATGGCCAGACTCACCCCCTTCCGTCTGGACAACATACTGAGTCCTTCAAGACCCAGTGCGAAAGTTAACCTGCCTACCCTTCCCAAGGACTAGTATTCCCCTCTAGGGTTCTACAGCCCCTATTACAATATTTATCATTTCACCCTTTTCCATCATTTATGTGTTCATGGGCGTATTGAGTAGTAAACCAGGAGCTTCCTGCGTGCTGGGGCCCTACCTTTCTCATCCCTGTCTTCTACAAGCCCATCCCACCCACTTCTTTAATTCCGACTCGCCTTCACAAACCAGGGGGACCCCATCTCTTTTCCTGATCCCCTGAGCTGCGAAGTCTCTCCGGGTACATTTTGCTGGATACTGGATTTATTTTATCTACACGTCTTGCTTCCCCTATTAAATAGGCTTTGCGTGACGGAAACCTGCACTGAATCCATCTTGATATACACCAGCATAGCTTCAGTATGAAATAAACGTTCCTTGTGTCAAACTAATTTTCCCCTCGATTCCAGGATACACCATTGGATCCACTGGTGGTGCAATTTGTTGTGCACAGCGGACGAATTTCAGACTGACTGCTAGCTTTGTTGCTGATTCCCCATGTGACTTGTGAATTTCTTCTCACACCTTTCAAACTGTTCATGTGTGCTTTTGCAATTAAATCATCACTATTAAAAAAGCTGATGTGACGCCTTTAAGAAACGTTGAACGAAACTAAAAAAGATACTAAGTGATAAGCAAAGACACAGAGACAACATAGGAAGTACATGAATCATGTAAAAAGCCCCTTCCAGGATACTAATAGGTACAGTTTTAACTAACAGAATAACACTCCGTCCTCCCGGGATTTATTAGCCTAACTGGAGACCAATTACTATTACCTGAAGAGGACAATTAAGGAGACGTTTTCAGTGCCCTGCTTCTGAGGACTGAATCATCCATTCCATTCCCCGCGGCCTCCAGGTCACCAGATCCAGCCAGGAAAGTTTCTCACTGCTAAATGCCGGGCATTAGTCAAACTTCAGCTCAATCCCCACTTCTGAGGTACTAGTGCACACTGTTCTAGCGACTGGTTAGTGCAAGCTCTTAGTGTCTTTTCTCAACTTTCTGAGGCCTGATGTGTTTTGGAATTTCTATCTTCAAATTTTAGAAAACTGTAAGATGCATATTCCAAGAGTTATTTAACACATGGCAGAGTCTGCAGGGTACCTGCACTCACACCTACCACCACATCTGTAGCCAAATATGGGCGTGTCTGCAACAAGCGGGACTAGCAAAGGCAGAGTCTGCAGGGTACCTGCACTCACACCTATCACCACATCTGCAGCCAAATATGGGCGTGCCTGCAACAAGCGGGACTAACAAAGTTTTTTTAAGTAGCCTTGTTGGGGGTTTTGCCTCTGAATGAGTTTGGTACTCAGCTTTCTTTTAAGTCATTCACTCCTTCACTCTCTCTCTCTTTCAAGTCATTCACTCCTTCACTCTCTCTCTCTTTCATGATAAGCAGAGGCAGAGACAGAGAGAAAGAGTAAGACAGGTCACCCCACAGAGTCTCACTCCATGATACCCCCCCCCCACCCCACCCTCCCAGCTTTCCCATCCAACCAGGACCTCAGGCCACAGCCTGGCATACCCGGGCCGACCAGGGCACCAAACCTAGGTCTTTTGTACGATCCAGCATTGCTGAGCTGGATGTTAACATGGAGACACGATGGCTGGGCCACGGCACCCAGCTTTGGGTAAAATTTTCTGTTTTCAGAGCTTTTTAGATTTTGGGTAAGGGACTGAAGAACTATTTGCTTAGAGATACCAGGGATACAAAGGTAGTAGCTGACAATCTAGTGAGACAATTAGAATCAACCTTGATTTTAATACTTACAGTTAGTAAACAAACAATTTTAGCAGGAAGTTGATTCTTTCAGTAAAAATAAGACTCCCTAAGGCTGGCTGGTGGCACTTTGGTTAAGAGTGTTGGACTCTCATATGGCTGACTGTGGTTCGAGTCCTGGACCTGGTGGCTTGCTTTCTCACTTTCCCCTTCTCTCTCATGCTCTGACCCTCTCTGGTCATATTAAAATTAATTAAATTAATTTTTTTTAAATAAAAGAACACTCCCCAAATAAATAGGTAGCATAGGAGGGATAATTTTCAATGTTTACTAGTCGACTTATTTTAGAAAGTAGGTCTAGCCATTATGGCACAGCAGAAACAAACACAAGTGCCTTGCAAGGCTGGAAGCCATATGGTTGACCATGGGTTTGTATCCCTGGGCGAGCTTCAAATATGCTGGGTGTTCATGTGGGCACCCAGGATTGTGAGGAGCTGGAGAGCTGAGAAAAGGAGATACAGGATGACCAAACCCTGTGCAGGATGCCTCCCTCACATGTACATGCAGGCATTCTCTGAGAGAGAAAAAGGGAAAAACAAAGATAAAGGGAAAAAAGTGAAGGAAAGAGAGAGAAAGGCAGAGAAGGAAGAAAAGTTAGGAAGGAAGGAAGGAAATCAGTGGTTGGTGAAGAAGAAAGGGGCTGGCCCCTAGGCTAGTGGTTAAGGGAGCCGATCCCACATGGTTAACTGTGGTTTGAATCCTGGCCCTGCAATACTGAAGAGCGGGCCAGGTATATGTGTGTGCATGCCCAAAATTCTAACAGGTCAAGAATTGGAAAAGAAAGGATAGCAGCATGACCACACTCTACTGAGAGATGCTTTCTCCCTCTCTCTCCTTGTCTCATCTGGCAAGTGGACTTACTCTCTGGCAAATAAAAGACATTAAGAAAGAAATAAGATGTTATGAAACATATTTCACATAGTGGACTGCATCAGAGTAAGAAGTAAGATGGCTAGTGCCATGGTCTGGAAAAGTCAGAAAAGAACTATGCCATCTGTTGTTTTCCTTCCTAGTTTTGCTACTATGAAGTTTACGGGTAAATTCATTCATCAGTCGCTTCACAACAGTCACCTAAACTGATTGTTACATTTCTTTCTTTGGCCTACATAATTTTAATTTTTAATGTCCTATTTTCACAGCCTTTAGATTTAAATGTTTGTTTGTTTTAAACCTTACCTCATTTTTTTTTTTGGAACAAGTACTGAGTTAGCTGTAAATCAATATATTAAAGCAAGATAAGAAGAGTTCACAGAAAGCCCACGGTTATTGATAGCTTTTGGTTACGTAGAGACAAGGCTTATTAAATAATTCATTAACAATAATAATGGTCTTTGCTCTACACAACAGATCCAGGAAGGGAAGGGAGAGAAAAGAAAACAGTGGGTCCTTTAAATCTAGTTCTTACTCCTAACACACTGAGCAGGTAAGAAAATGGAGCAAGAGCCAGAAGAAAGGCTGTTTGGTCTTTCAACAATCACGAGTCTCCTGAATGTACGACAATAATACATCACAAGACTATCACCTCCCTCATGTGCTCAGAAATGACTCTGCAATGGCTCTTAGCTCACTCAGTCTAAACGCCGAAGTCCTTGCGACAACCCAGAAGGCCTCACACCATTAAGTTCCCAGGAGGCTCACAACTGATTTCTTTTACTCTTCCCTCCAGCCAAGGTGGCCTCTTGCTGTTCCTTAAATGGGCCAGACACACACCTCCTCAGGCCCCTTGCACTTGCGGCTTCCACTGCCCAGAACACACTCCCTCTGCGCATCTCCAGTATTTGCTGCACCGTTTCCTTCACGGTTTTGCTCCGATGGCCTCTTCCCAGTGACCTTTTCCTCTGACCACCTTTAAAAAAACTGTACCGTCATTCTGAACCCCCTGTGCCCTTTTCTTATGTCAATTTCCATAGAAGACTTGCTCCATCCAACAAATTCCACCTGTGATCTGCCTTCCTTCACGAGAGTGAATTTCTTTTCTTCTTTTGGAGAGGTTTTCGCTACAGGGCACGTGCGCTCGCCAGAGAGAGAGAGAGAGACATAGAGACAGAAAGCGAGAAATCACCCCCCAGGGGGGATGGTCACGCCACAATCTCTTCTCCTCGGTTCTCCTCTTGGGATCTTGGGCACGCACGCACATGTGCCTGGCGTGAGTTTTAAGCCACAGGATCCGGGATGCGAACCGCGGTCGACTACGTGGGAATCCAGCAACATAGCCATTATGCTAACTGCTGGTTCCCTAGAGTGAATTTCTTGAAGGCAAGAGTTTCAGGGCCTAGAACAACGTCCCTCAGGTGGCAAGGATTTAGAAAAACAAAACAAAACAAAACATGTTGTTGAATTTCTTAAGTAGTTATAAAATGATCAGTGAGGGAAATAAAGCATTTACAGATCAAATCTAGGAAACTTACTAAAACATAGTTAAAAATAATTAGAGGACACATCTCTGCAACTGTTTTTCTTTTCACTTTAATTTCATTCATTACTAAAATAAAAAAACAAAACCAACTTGCACCATGATAAAGTCCTTTAATATAAAGGGGATAGGTGAGGGCAACAGACTATCAGTCTGAGGAAATAATAAGAGAGAACAGTAAATTATATTGCTGGAGTATAAATGGTGTCAGAGAAACAAGCAAGCTGAAGAAACTGCTTTGAAGGAAGCAGACCTCCGTAAGGGAGGAGGAGGGTGACCACAGCGAAGATAAGAGAGACAGGGAGAAACAGAGACACTGAACCTCAGAGGGGACTAAGGTAATGCCGACACCAAAAGGAGCAGAGATAACAAGAACTGGAGACGCAGCTGAAGTGACCATCAGTGGTCAAGGTCACTGCAAAGACTCTGAAGATGCAGTTTGGGAAGGGGCTTTTTTCTTTCTTTTTTTTAATGAGCAAGTAAGAAAGCAACTTCTGACAGTTAAGGTTACCAGAAATGAACAAGATTTACTTTATAGAGCCATACCAGAGGAGAGCGAGCTAATTATGGTATGTTTAAAGTTAATGTGCTTTGACTGATCTTCAAAAGTCTCTATATT